TACAGAGTTTACTTGCAAATGGGCAAAAGTCATGGCGTACACGCACTCGGCTGTCCAACGAATTGTAAACGAATTTTGCGGGGAAAATGTCCAGATATTTTCCGGAATTTTCTTTTTTCCCCATTTTTTTTTTGCTCCGGCCAGGTGGGCATATTTCGCATATGTACATATGTGTGCAAGTAGTTTTTTGGCTATCTTTCAGCAGGCAAACGAGGCGGGAAAATGGGTGGAAAATCGGTGGGTGTGGCACTAGGAGGGGGAAATAAAACTTTGGAGGGGTGCTAAAGACGAACGTGCCTGTTGTTTAGTGTTGCATGTACTTGTGACTGGGCTGGCATTTGGGGATTTATTTGCATTTTACTTTTGCCGTGCTGCAAATAGTTTGCCGCAATCTGTGTCCCCCCGAGTGTCCCGTCTCTTTCACTCTATTTCGCCCTGTCTCTTTCTCACTTTTCTCTCTGGTTTTTCCCAGCTCGCGTGGTGTTTGAAAATTTATGAACTTTTCCATATAGATATTTTAATTTTTTTTTTTTTTTTCTTTGCCAAGCATTTGTACCTGTGTCTCATGTCTTCTCCCTCTTTTTCCATACACCCCTCTCTTTCTGCCATGATGCATGACTATGTAAATAGACATTTTTACACTATGAACACAGTTTTGGGATATTACGAAGTCAGATTTTATTTTCTCTTCGCTTGTCGTGCAAATTTGTTTGTGTTCTTTCTTTTTTCATTTTTTTTTTGACGTTTGCATAATTTTATTTGTTAACTTTCTGAATTGCTCCTCCGTCCCTTTCGCCCATTATTGTCTGTCCCTCTTTCTGCATACTTGATGAACAATAAAAAAAAATATGCCAGTCGGCCATTAAATAGCACAAATTGTGTGTAATTTTAGTTGACAATTTGGTCCGGAAATATTTGAACAAAGTCAAAAGGGACAACCTAATTATTTTTGCCAATCTGACAAAGGAATTAATGTGAAGTATTTAAATATATTTAAGGATATTCATACTTATATGTTAAAAATGCCCATATAATTTCGCTTTTATTAAATGAGATTTTTGCATTTATGTAGCTTTGAAAAACTAGAAATCGATTACGCAAATATGTGTTCAACCAGGTGTATATGCGTTTATATTTGCTTTTGGGTTCTCCCAACATAGATACACCTGCCACATCCTGTCAAATGAATCTAGTAAATGCTTGTTGTGATATATTCATGAGTATTTTAGTCCTTTGCATTGCGATGTGACAGCAAACAAAAAGCAGTGTGGGCAAGGCAAAATGGGTGTTTGTACACGTGGGTGGCTGGTTGCACGGGTGACTCGGATAATGGTCGCCATTTGCGGCTGACCACATTATTATGCAATCGCCGCACTATAATGAAATGTGATTTCGGACTAAACATATTTAATTTTGGTTTCGCTTCATGTAAATTTCAACGCGGCAATTGGTTAATCAAATTGAAAGCGACGACCAAGGTTTGCCATCAATTATGGATAAAGCACCTAGTGTTTTATCATCACTAACACAATTCACTCTACGAAACATGTTTAATAAATTAAATTAAGTTCGGTTAAGCAATGGAAAATAACTGAAAATACCGCTAGTGATATTGGCAAAATGTGCTTATGCACCGTTGTTTAACACTTAAAAATTATTGTTTAAATAAGTTACATAAATTAGGTTTGGTTTATGAAGTTATTCGTTTAAAACTTAATTATTGATAAAATCACTGATAAATCTACGAGTAAAGATTCATAAACATATATGTGTTTTCCAACACTGCATCAGTTTTCTTGAATAAGCTTGAGGCAATTTCGGTAATCAGATTGAAAGCAACAAGCAGAAATGTCATCAATTACGTATAAAGTACTGGACATGACGATATATCCACAGAGTGCTTTATCTTCGTTGACATAACTCAGACACCGTTATCCAACACTGCAAAATATTTATTTTAATAAATTAAATGCAGTTTGGCGCATACAAACGAGCGCATCAACATGCATATTTCATATATTTTACAAAGGGGATGAGCCGGCAGCGGGAGTTGCTTGGTCGGTTGGTTGGTTGGTTGGTTGGTTGTTTGGTGTACCATACATTTTTATAAACTACCCAACTACCCGGCTGAAGTGAGTCCCCCGAACTCATGCATATAGAAATGATATGGAAAAAGGCGAACATAAATTACTTTTATATTTTGTCGCTATTTTTATATTGCCAACACTTGTGCGGAAATTGCGCGATGAAACGACGCTGCCCAGGAGCGGAATAAAATGGAAATGGCAGGGCGATGCGATGCTATGCGGTGGGGACCCGCAAGAAAATTGCCAGCCCCAGTGCAGTTTGTAGCCAGCGGTAATACGCCACCTATCTGCCCCGCCCACTTTTCCAGCATCTTCCCCCTTTTTGTGGAATAAGCACGAATGTGGCGATATTTACGCGAGATATTCAGCAGCGAATTCGCCATAATTCAGCTTAAAAATATCTTCAAAAAACAAAGCACAAGAGAGCAAGCTGAGATTTCTGTACCGAATAATTGTGTACTGTTATACCTTAGTAAAAAATATTAAAAGTTTAATAATTAATTTATATAAAAGGTAAGTTTAAAGAATTTTTAGCCACTTGTAATTGAATAAAGATATTTGTTGTTAGATGTAAAAAATATTTCTGTAGTAAAAGTGAATCTGAAAAATCGAAAGTTTCCAAAGTAGTCAGCAAAATATAATATAACTTTTTAAAATTAATTATAATTATTATCAATTATAATAAATGGCAAGTAAATTGTATATTAAAACCATCAAGATTTATTTCTCTAAACCTTATACTTTTGTAAAGAGCATCATCACAAAAGAACATCGTAAAGAATTAAGAAAATTATATTTCTTATTTTTTGAACGTTTTTTTCGTATTGTCGTTATTCTAGCTCCTTTTCGCTGTGTCTGTTTCAGACATTAAATTTATGTTATGTTGATTCCACTCTTGACAAATACACCAGATACAAAAGAGCGAGAGCTGGGAATTGAAATGGTCAGGGGAAGCGCTGGACATGATTTAGAGGGCTAATTTTGGCAGAGGCAGCTAAAAGAAGCCATAAAGCCAAACAGAGGAAGTCACTCAAAAAACAAAGGGAACAATTGCAGCAAAAAATATGGTAAAGTGGGCAAGTTTTAAGGAATTACTGAGTATAAAAATATAAAGAAAAATATATGGATATTTAACATTGAAAATAAAAAAGGATGGAGGATTAAGTAAGCATATTTTATATTGTTAGTTCAAGCTTAAAAAAGAAATTGGGGGAACTTCTTGAAGTATTCCGAAGAGAAAGTTAAAACAAGGGTCATGAGACTCTTTGTCTTACATTTATTATTTCATTTTGCCCAAAACCCAAAAAATTGTATTTCTGGCGAAAAAAAGAACACAAAAGCATAAAACACACAGTATTTATCCAAAAAGTTGGCCGCCGAACAGGGAAAGCGCATTAAAATAACACAGTGTATCCATATAACAGCAAAACCATATTACCAACCTTTGGCAAAAAATGTGTGAGGACCAGGCACAAAAAATGGAATTAAATTGAAATGTAAAACAATTTTCCAATGAAAACTCTTGCTCTTCATTTGTTTTCCTACCGTTCGCCCTTTGCCCTTTCCAAACGCCCTTTTTTTTAGGTGAAATTTAGTGGTAGACCGAGCAAGTAAAACATTGTAAATACAAAAATGCACAAAAAACGAGAAAAATGGAAAGACAATATTTTTAAATTGACCATGAATGTTGTATAAAAGTCCAAATAAATATGAGACTTATACAGTTCATTTATATAATATTACGTTATAATTTGGAAGTTTATTTTAAATTTTTTCAACAAACCAGTAACATTTTGAATATGTAATTCCATTGAAATCTATGTATCTTTACAAAGAAAGAGTGGTCTAAATAATTTTGGACTGCTATTATCATTCACATGACTTCTTTTGTTATGGGCACACATTTGCCCCCCTATAAATATACAAGTTCTTTCTCGAAGGAAAGTCACCTTCGCATTTAGCATTCCTAGCAGGCAAATGAACTCACTTGAATAATCGCCACTCTGGGAGTTATCTCGCACTTTAAATACGTTGGCGAATTTTAATGAAAACGTCCTTTCAACGCAAGATAAATTATTCAAAAGTTTTCCACTGAAGCAGGGCAGAAGATTTCCACCGTCGCTGCTGTTGTTGTTGTATTTTTGTTGTTCTTGTCGTCGAGCATTTTCGCATTTTATTTGTGTTGCCGGCCATTCTTATTTTTCACCTTTCCGAGTCCGGTTCTACTTTTTTTTATTTTTTTATATTTTTATTTTTGTTGCATTGTCGGCAGGGCATTTCAGTTGCAGGCAACTCTGGACGGGCCACGCCCCCTTTTAACCCTTTCCGCCCACTTCCTGGCGTCCTTGTTTTGTTTGCCGGCCGCTTTCAAGTGCGAAAAACTCTCGGATGAGATTCATTCACTGATTTTCTCACCTCGCTCGTTCTTGGCGGCTATCGCGCTCTCTTTTCAGCCGGCTGTCAGTTTGACAGAAATGGCCTGCAGTTTGGCGCGACTGTACTTTTATCTTCTTTTGCTGAAGGCCCTGTACTTTTATCTCCGCTTTAAAGAACTTAAATGTTTCTTTGAAGCAAAGCAGTATTTATTGTTGTTTATTATTTTATTAAAGTTTTATTCGTTTACCATTAAAAATCACTGTTCATTGTTGTGACTGTAATTGTTGCAACGGCTTAAATAAATATTTCGCTTGCCATTCTCAACCATTGGTGCATTATTAAAGCGCTTTATCTCCGCCTTTTATCTGTGCTTCGCATTTGCAAGCTTTCTAAATTCAAATCTTTATGTTTTAAATAACCCAAGTGGTATAAAATCTCCTGCAGAGTGCAACGTGCGATGACAACCGCAATGGTCTGGTTGCCTCACTAAAATCCCCTGGCCAAACTCCCACTTTATCGCACACACAGACTTTCCACAGGATTTGACCATTTTCATGTGGCGGCTACGAAACGAAACTGGAATTTAAATAATACCAATGAAAACAACGAAAGCATTTTGGCCCTCATAAAATCGTATTAGGTATGCTGCCCGAATTTGGGTCATTTATTGTATGGAAAGAATTACAATTCGTTGGATGAAATTTGGAAGAGATTAACCGAAAATGGCTGACCATGAAAGTAACTTCAGATTTATACAAATGACCTTTTACAAATTAGATGATGCTTGATCACGGGGCACAGGTTTCCGAGCCTGAATCGCAGTCGGTTACGGAAACAGATTCAATGTTGATGGCAACTCCGGGGATTTTGGCTAAGTTTTTTGGTGTCGTTTCCGTTTCCGTAACGGTTTTAGTCTTGTCTTGCATTTCCGGTTGGGTTTCTGGCTTGTTGGTTTTAGGTTCCCGTACCTCGTGCTCTTGCAGCTCGAATTCCGGCGGCAAATTTACTTTAGAGATCACAGTCTCTTGGGCCACCTTTCTAACCGCCTCCTTGACCGACTTAATTACCGCCTCCTTCACCGTTTCCAGTACTTCTTTGGTGATCGGAATTTGCAAATTTAATAATGATTCCTTCAGTTTCCTCATGGGAATGGCTGTGATTTCTTCTATGGATTCCATGGTCACTCCTCGGTTGGATCCTGCCCTCACGCGTGATCCCGTGGGTCCTTCTGGGCTCACTTGCCTAGATTTCCTTGGATGTCTTTCCGGTGAAATGGATTTTCTTTTCTTTGTACCCTTATCGGCTAAAAGCTGGTCAGGATCCGCTTTAGCAAATTCCCTGAGGGTGTCTTCGAGATCAGTTACAGATGAATTTTCCTCCTGGCAAGTTTGCAGATACTTCTGGATGCTTTTTATCAGCTGCTTTGCTTTGGACTTTCTCCGCCTTGAAGCAATTACATAATTGGACCATTTCGCTTCGAGATTTTTATGGCTTTTTTCATTTTCCTCTTTGTCAAGATGCTTTACTTCTTGGCTCAATTCAAGTTCCTTTTTAACAAACTTTTTTTGATCAGTCACAAGCTTATTTATAAGATCTTTATCTATTATTAACTCAGAAGAGTGTCCCTGCATAGACTTAGCCTTCGCCTCCCTGGCCTTCGTTTTTTCCTTGGAAACCTTAGGGGACGGTTCCTTGCTCTGATCATCGATTGTATTCTTGTTAGCCTCCTCGGGCTGAAAGCTATCCATTTCCGGATACGACGTCTTTGGACTTGGTACCATGGGAAGCGAGAGGGGTTTTCGATTTAGGGACAGTTTTCCCTGGGCATCCCTATCCAGATTCATCTTGTTGCGTGGCATTTTGTCACCATGGCTATTGTAGGTATCCAACACATGTCTAGAGACCCGTCTCTCCAATGTATTTGCGGACAGATCCTCGTGTAGGAACAGTTCCAAATGAATGCCCTCCGGCTGGTTGTCATCGAGACTGGTAATTTCCTTTTCAGCCATTAAATCCAATGCATCTTCATGGCGAAGTAGAAGGTAATCCGATTCGAGACTTAGAAAATCCCTTGGATTCTGTGAGACAACATAATTCCTGGCATTTCGAATGACACAACGTGAATGTATGTATAAACGATCGAAGAGGGTCAGGGTGTATAGCATTCGATTGGCGGTCACCGGAGAGACCAGCCACAAGATATATATGATATTATCCGGCTGGTCAATCTTCTCCAGCTCGGTGGCGAGTTTCTGATCGGGCAGCATGGCAGACCAGTTGGTCCTGCAAATCATTAGGACCATGGTCAAATGATGTTCATAGCAACGTCTATCGCTTAGAAGACCGCTATTCGGGAAACTCAAGTGCCGGCGAGCTGGTAGAGTTTCTTTTTTATCCTCGGTGCCAGCATACAGCAATATGGCAATGGCCTGCGGCACATCCAGCTCAAGGTCATCGAGTTTAAAGTTCAAACGCAGTGGCTGATCATCGTAAACTTCGTATATCATTGAAGTGGGTTCGTGGCCATGTTTGTGGAGAAGGTGAACCAACAGGCCCGAGGGAAAAACCACCTGCTCGCAATCGCCCAGCGGACATTTTCCAGGAGCCCGGGATAATTGACACAAAATCCGCCGGCGACGCCGATTTTCCTCATCCACTTTCTTATCGGGGACTTTCCCCGTTTTCTTGCTCTGCCTTTTCAGTTTGTCTGGCTTCACCTTCGTTTCACTCATTTTTAGAAAAGAATATCATATATATATATAACAGTAATAAAATGTATATAGTATTCAAGAACTGGAAAATGTACGTGTTGCTATATTAACTTCCAAAGTAGAACTGACTGGTGGCCCAAACGAAGCCAAACGAACATAATCGCTTGACGACTGACAGCCCCTACAAGGCCCTCTTGGCCATTAGAAAATGAATTTACCAGACAGATCCCCTGGCCTCCCCCCAATCGATAAGAAAAACAAGGAAAGCTGGGAAACTATCTCCACGGAGTTTAGCTAACGAGCAGCAACCAACTTTACCCGCTTCGCTGGAAAAAGTGTCGGAAAAACAGGGTGGCAGTAGCCCGTCATATATCCAAGTATTTTTGATTAAGCATTCCCCAGATACGAATTAAATCAATAACTTTTGGCCAGCCAAAAACAAATTGAATTCAAAAGTTTGTGGCCATAAAACAAAACCGCAAACTTTGAAGCCACTGGGTTTTGGTGATCGACTTGGGGTTACCCAAGAAATGTGCCGTAATACAAATTATTATTAACGAGCAACTTGTATTCGAAAATATTTGTGTAAAAGTATAAAATAATTTGTGTATAATATGTATTCAAATATAAACGAATTGCTGTAAAGTAAGAGAAATCTATAGTATAAGTATAGTAGACAGGCAAAAATAAAATGTATAATATATTACATATTACTTAAGTAGACTTTATCCAAATATTTCCTTTGCGGTATTTCCAGAACGAGTCTCCCAAACTTTTGGTATCACCTGCCGCCCCATAAAAAAGGTTTGTTACTGCCAACCCCCCTCAATAAGCGTAATGAAACGTAATTTGAATGGCTCTTAAGTGGCTTTCGGTTCAGGTGAGTGTGTGTTTGCAGGTGGGAGTATATATCCATACATATATATATATATATATGGCTTAAAGGATATGCCCTTATTTTTGGGTGTAAGCCGGGGCCAATCGTGTGAAAATTGAGCTGCCCAGTGGCCAAAATTAACTGCTCCACCGCATCCGCATTCACATTCGCACTCACATCCGCATCGACATCCGCCAGAAGGAGGCGGAGTGGGCGTGGCCAAGTCGTGTCCGATTTATGGCCCGGATAATGCAGGCGACTTACGAGCGTTAAAATTATGCAGCCACTGCATTAAAAAGCGCTGAAAGTGTTGCACGACAAATGGCCCGGGAGCTGGCCAAAACCCCGAGGCATTAAACGTCGAACAGATGGCATCAATTTGTACCGAAAAATCGAGCAGACCGTAAAAAGAAGCTGCGGAAAATGCCCGGGAAAGCGAAAGAAAAGAAAGCCACAGGGAGGGAAATTGCGTTGAGAAAAGGCTTTTAACATGAAGGGGGCATCGCATGGGGTAAAATCACTTTGATGCCAGAGAAACCCATGCATTTTAAACAAATGTGGAAAATTATTATATTCAGCAGGTCAATAAATTGAAAATATCGTTAATATATTTATTAAGCAATGTTATTTTCTTGGGTTCTTCGATGTAATATACCAATAGTTATTGGTTCAATTATAAAACATATTGAAGAAATCCTCTGATTGTTATACAGAGCTAAAATATTTGATAAAGATTATTTTGAATGGACTGAAGTTTGTCTGGATATTTGTGGCCCATAAGCTCACTTTGTACAATTACTTAGTGGTCACCGAGCAGCCAGCATCCATTCCACTCGAATCCACTGGCCATGAATAAGCCCAGCACTCAAACACTCACTTGACACTCACACTCGCACTCGCACTCGAATAGAAATGGGCAAACAACAAATGGCCGAAATGCGAGTCGTCGGAAAAGCCACGTCTGTCTGTCTGTCCCGCTCTCTCATTTTCCAGGACATGGACATGGACAAGGATACGGATGCGGATGCGGACATGGAGTCCGGGCCTGGATGCGGATCGACCGGACCCATTCCGGCCATGTTGTAATGTAATGTAATGCGCGTGCTGCCAGCTGAAATAAAGAAAATGAAGCCTCACTCGCAACGGGGTCGCAGGGGGTCAAAGTTGAGTTCGGTTGAGGGGGCAGCAGAGTGGGGGAGGGGGCAGGGTCAGACAGGATGTTGGCAACAAAAGCCAAAAGTGCCACCGCGCGTAAAAATAAAACAACAGGGCGGCTCTTCAAGCCAGCGGAACATTCGAAGCCCAAGAATCGAAGGCATCGATGGGTTTTGGGTTCGTAGTATTGGCGAGGTCAGTGAGTTTACCCCCTGACTTTTCCCCTTCTCGGCTTTTTCTCACACATATCTGTGTGTGTGTGTACGAGTACAAGTGCACTTGTGTGCGTGCCTGTGTGTGTGTGTGTGCTCAACACGTTCAATATTTTATGGTGTCGCTTACAGGCAAAATGGGAGCCAAGCAAACAGATACCGAGAATCGAAAAGAGCATAAGTGGTACACTGAGAAAAATAGTTATTTTTGCTTAAAAATACCACCATCTGTTTATATAGACTTTAAGTTGCTCAAAGGGAATTCAAATGTTTTTGTTTGGTAATTAAATATTTCTTTTTAGCTATTTGAAACACCTTAGGTAACATTTTTTACATTTTCATTTTAGTTTTAGATTCTAGAATTTATTAGCATAGTAGATACATTTGTTCTTTAACTGAATATTGTAGTTGTATGTATTTTTTGTATATTTTTTTGTATGTATATTTTCAAAAGAATTTCTTTCTGTGTATTTCGCTGCGGTGAAGGCAGATGAGCGAGGTGGATAGAATGGCTCAAATTACGCAGACTACGAAATTAATATGGAAATCGACTGAATATGGAAAACCGAAGCCAAGTAAAGTACAGCTAGAGATGGGATAGTGGATAGTACGAGGGTTTCCAATGATAAACGTAAAGCTAAGGACCCCAAACTTTCCACATATTATATACAAAATTCTGTTTATAGACTAAAAACTAAGGAATTTTAAAGAGTTGACGATGATGGATAGTACAAGGGTTTCCAATGATAAACGAAAACTTAAGAACCCCACACTTGCATAGATTGAAAAGGGATTTTAAAGAGCTTTGATTAAATATATAATCAAAACCTTATATTATTACTTGAATTTTCTAAACTTAAAAATTTTTTTTGTATTATTTTCTGAAATATGTTTTTCAGATCGTGTCACGAACCCACAACCAAAATGGAATTCGGCTGACTATGGGGTTTTGGTTCCCAGAGGTGGGGGAGTGGAACAAGGTGCTTTTGGAGGACGGGGTCGTTAAAGGAAGACCTGGCCTTTGGTCAATTGAAACGGTTCAAAGGGCGTTCGGCCTGCGGTCTCTGGCCCACACTCTGCTTTATCCTTTATCCTTTGGCCGCTTCCCCTCGCCAGCACTCTTCTTAAACACGTATTTCTTCTTTTTTTTTTTATCGACGCGGCCATATAAATTTCACTCTGGCAAATGGTTTTTATTGGCAGCCATAGCCTCCAACACGAGCTCAAAAAGGTTAAATTTGGAAAATTGGTACGTGATTGGATTCAAAGCGCAAAATAAGTGCGTCAGTGGGTTGTTTTCCACCGCCCTTCGGCCTCTTTTCACTTATGGGAATGAAAATATACTTTTTCTTTTATTTTCTACTACTATTTTTTTCTTTTTTTTTTGGCACGCCACTCTGTCCGATTTGTAATAAGAATGTGTTTTTTATATATTCTGTGGTCGAGAGTTGTGCTGTGTGAAAAATTGGAACTTCTGCCAAGCCACGATGATGATGATGGCAGGCATCCAACATACGTATGTGCATACATATGGCGGCGGTATCTGACTGCTGGCATATACAGACATCCATAAGTTTAAGTATTTGTGGTCTTGTGTTTGATTGCCGGCCATAAAACGGTCATTTGTTTTGTTGGCCAGTTTGTGACTGAGCCGAAACCGAAACCAAAACCAAAATCGAGCTGCCAGCTAATAACTGGCCATTGGTTTTTGTCCACCGAACAACGTGGCGTATGAGTAATATTTGAGTAGCTCTCGCCAAAAGATGGAAATGCGGTGTGTCAGCAACAGATGGCAAAAGATTGTGGTAGACGTAACTTAATAATCCAATTAGTCTTAGCATTTTCAAAAGACAGCTGAATTTATTTCCATTCCTGGGTAAACAGCTAATCCATAAATATATTTCAAAACCTGAACTGAAAATATTTTTAGATCATAGCTACCTTTCTATCAATTGCATTTTCCCAAAAACCTTGCCTTTAAAGTTCTACCTGAAACCGGGTAAGCTTAAAATATGCAAACAAAATCAAATTGCCAAAATATTTGCCATACTACTGGCAGTCCATCAATCGGGGGATAAGCTGGAAATCCTCTTGAAAAACGACCATGGCCATTATAGCGGAATATATATGCATATACACGCACTGAACTGAACCGATAATCGGACTTACGTTGGCTTTGACCGTAGCCATTTGTCCAGAATTGATAAACACCGGAAAAAAAAATACTACGCAGCCGATGATTCATTTCACTAACCAATCAATATAATACGACAAACAATTTTTATTGTTTTTAATTAAAAAGTCATCGCAATATTGTTGCTGCTGGCATTTCCATAAAATTATTTATCCCCAAAAGATATGCATATACGAAAATGCGTAGCGCTTATGGCACATGACAATTTACAGATTTATCTGTCACAATTTCCCTGCCTTTATTTTGCAACTGTTGTTGTCATAATTAATTGGCATTTATTATGCGCCGCAATAATAAAATACAAAAAAAAAAAAGAAATAGCGGGCAGAAATTTGTGATATCCCCCCCCAATTTCCATTACCCATCGAAGTTGATGGCTTTTAATCACTTAATTGAAGCTAATTAGAACCGCAAATTCAATGTGCACTGCTGACAATATCGGTTACGATTTTCAAATCAATTCAAGCCGGGTTTAATTAGGGACTTGAAGCTCCATTTAGTTGGATACACACACTCGTAAATCGACTCGGATGAGACTCAAATGAATCATATTCTCAAGTGCCATGGGGCACTTTCCCGGGCACATCATTAAATCACCGCAAAAGTTCAGAAATGCATTTCATTTGAAAATCATGAACCGGCCAGCAACAACAACAACAACAACCACTACCTGGCACTCTCGACATTACAAATTACAAGTTGCTGGCTGTCAGGGAAAATCGTTGAGCGATAGGTCAGGGGTCAGGGGTCAGAGGTTGGTTTGCTGCCGAAGAAAAAACATGGAAAACTTCGACGAGGCAAGTCTGGGCGCAAACGAAAGGTATTTACCTGGGCCAAGTCAACAGATAGATCCTTCGTATTTTAAACAGTTTATTTTTCAAATATGTTTCTAAGCTTAAGAATAAATTGGCTTATAAACTTTATACTTCTTTAAAAAAACTTGAATATATTGTTTTATTGGTATATAAGTTTTAATAAAAAATTGAGGTGGTTTGAGGGTATAGCTTTAGGTTAATAAAAAAAACTCAAAAGATTTCCAAAACATTTTTATATAGCTAAAAAAGTTTCAATTTTTCTTATTAAATGTATGATTTGTAAATTTGTATGATTTTTGACATAATTTATTTATATTTATGCAATATTAAAGAGTTATTTTTAAAATCCCATAATAAATATTAAAGCCTTTTTAGACTTAGATTTAACTTGGAAACATGTTTGTATTTATATTTTAAAATTGTATAAAGATACCATTATATATTTTCTATACATTTTTCTTGGAAGCCAAATCACCCTAAGCCCAGGGTATTTTAAAAAGCGGCTAAAGTAACCGCGTTTTGAGATGGGTGTCGGCAAAAGGGCGGCCTACGGAGTAGGGGGCGTGGTTCTCTATAGAGGGATTCTACCGGGGAGCCTCAGCGATTGCAATCTGCGGCGCTTCAACGGCGCTTAATGTTGCCTACAATCCACAATGTCAGCCATTTATCATTCGCCAGAGCTCAGCTCAGTTTACTGGCCAACTGACTGAATGACTGACTGACTGAATGACTGACTGAGGAACTGACTGAATAACTGACAGATGGCAGAGGGTGAAAGGCAGACCAAAATTGGCATTATGAACTCTCTGCAAAATAAGTGAGTGAGGCCAAGGGGCTGAAAACTATCTTTTAAAACCCCTCAAAGTGGGTCAGGTGGCGTATTTTATCGCAGGGAAAAATAAGTCTTACTTACCCAAAGTGAGTCGACTAAAATCGTTACTTTCTGCAGATTGAAGTTTAATGAAATGTTCTGCAAAGATAAATGGTTTCATAATTTGTAGTAAATAAGTATATAAATACGATGAGTTTTTTCTTTGAACCAAAATAAAACCAACCCCAAAATCATTCCTTTTTATCTTTTTTTCCCCCTCTTATTTTTTCCCATTTAGATAAAAACATTATACTTTTTATAACCGCATCTTAACACTTGCTTTGTCTTTGCTTAAGTTGCTTTAATTCCTTTTAAGCTCTTAATAATTTTGTTCCTTCTTTCGGTTTTAATAGCACTTCATTCTCGGGTTTTCGGTGGCGAATTAAATTTTATTTTCCTGCTGCGATGGCCTATTCCCTTTTGTTAGCCCGCCTGCCATTCGCTGATTAATTTAAGCGCCCTACTAATGCATAAATTAATGGTAAATAACGGCTGGCCAGCTGGCCAAAAAGCAGCTGACACTGTTCACACACTGAGAGAAAAGGGTGGCGAGAGGGAGTGGGGGGAAAACTGCAACTGATTCAGATCGGATCAATATGCTTGTAAAATTTTCAACCGCGTGTTCAGCTCGTCTAACACATTTACACTGCGAAAAATAGTTGTTTACATCTCTAAGAACCAAGAAATAAATTATATCTAATAAATAATTAGTAAAAAAGTGTATATGATTGAAAACTGCTCGTAAATTGGTTGTTATCTTTTATAGGAACCGTATATTTCAGATTAAACATCATTCGAAAAATCTTAATTTAATCAAATAAAATGTTTTACTTAAATTGGGTTGAGTTAACTCATTTTCTCCCAGTGCAACATCAATTATAATTTACTGGACGATGTGTGCGAGTCGGTTTTTTCCGCTTCATATGCTTCAGGGGTCAATTTGGTGGATGCATTCAGCCATTGGGCTCATTACGGCCCCTGTAAAATGCATTTCCATCACTCTCCGCCTGACAATTTGACATTGTTTCGATGGAAACTAGCCCACAGCCCCAAAATTTCCTTGGCCAAATTTGCTCTTCTAATTTGTAATTGAATGGACAAGGAAATCGGTTGAAATTAATGCCATGTTTTGAGCCTGCTCTTGTCTTTTGTGTGTCTCAACCAATCGGCCAAAGGTTTTCACAAAATTTGCAGTTCTAGATCGGGGGTAGAATTTCATCTTTGTTCCGTCGAAGCTGCCACTTTCAAACCGTTTTAGTTGCCTTTTGTGGCTCTTAGTCTACTAATTAACTGCAAATTGCTTTTGCCAGCAAAGGCATTTTGTGCCACCTTCTGCTTTCAATTCAAAATCCAATAAGAAAAAACACACACACTTTAGTGTGTTCCATTTCGTTTGAACCCGGCTCGTTTTTGGTCGCTCCTCTAAATGGGTTGCCATGACAATTTCAAATTAAAATCAAATTTTGTGGCACACAATATTTTTATATCCGCTTCTGCGGTTAGAGGGGGACAAAAAAAAAAACACTGATTGTCGATTGCAGAAAGCCGATTTCCGATTGCCTGTTGCTGATCAATTAAATCGAATGACATGAGATTGCTGTTGTTTTTTAGTCTGTTTCATTTAGCCGTAATTGCCGCTCGTTTGGCCAGAAATCGGAGAATATAGCTGGTTGTTTGTTGTTTCGATTCGTTTGTTGCAGGTGACACATCCCATGGATTGTGTTGATTTTCCAGGAAATCTCCTCTTTGGTGCTGATTTGCCAGTGGTTTCCTTTTGTCATCTGCCACACATTTTCAATTGCTATTTCTGCACTTGCTTATGCAATCAGTTCTTTAAGTTTCCCTATTTTTCTAAGCTGCTAATTAATATTATGCTTACAATTAATTTGAATACTTTAATCCACTTGATGTTGTAATTTCCCCAAAATTTTATTTAAAATTCGCTTCTTTTGCTAATGATTTGGAAATGGGTCTGCGGCTTTTCTTGGCCTCTAATGCCACTTAATGCCACTTAATTAATAACCTAAACTTTTGCTGTTTTTGCCATTTTCATTTGCCTCGGTACTCGCAACCACTTTTTGCCTTTTCCATTTGTTTGGCATTGTAATTGCATTTGGCCGAAGCCATTAAAGTCTTAACAGATTAAATAAATAAATAACTGAGGAGGCCTGCAATTCCATTACCTCGACTGAAGGGAATGCCAAAGAGAATGGAATGCGCATGTGAGTGGTATTTGAATGGCAGTGCATGCATGTACATAACTCAAATAGAAATTCAAAACTGGGCCCAAAGTCGAAAACTGAGAAATTTGCATACAAAAGTATCTGGATGCTGAGGAAATTCTTTGACTTTAGCATCCTTTGGCCACTGAATGCATGCCAAACTGAGAAAGAGAGAGGGAAAAAATAGTAAGCGACATCGTTTTATTTTTTTGTGTTCCTAGTGGGTTGGCAACCCAATAACTCACCCCTTCCGAAGTCCTTCCTCACCCCTTCTTCACCCCTTCTTCACTCCTTCCTGTACCCCCAATTTCACCCCTTCAACACTCATAACAATTGCAGCTGGCAAAAGATGAAGGCGAGTGTGGAATACCATTAAATACACAAGGGAAGCTACTTTTAACCCAAATCTGCGGGCATAAAAGCCAGCCAGCCATGGGCCAGGGTATGGGTTAAGGGTTACGGGCTACGGGCTAAGGGTTAAGGAAGCAGTGCCCAGAGGAGCCGGTGGAATCGGTGGAGCCAGCGGAGCAGGCCACATATGAGCACAAATAATGCAGCGATGGCGGCCACGTGGAGCCTTGCCAAAGGGGCAATCGTGGGTTAACTCCGGGCTGCCCGTGTGTGTGTTCCTGCGCCGCCTGCCGGGGGTTAAGGCGCGGGGTGTGCCGCTCGCAGGGTTAAAGGCTGAGGCTTACTGGCAGCGACAATTTTCAGACAGTGGCAGCCAGGCAGGCGTCGTCTAAGCTCCGCATTGATATGCATGTGACGCACTGTAGTGCAGAAACTCAGGAAAACTGATTGAAACTTAATTTTTTTAATTTATTGAAGCTCATAAAAAAGGAAATTAAATAAATAAAGTTGTACTCTACTACCAACAGGAAATTTTTTAGTATAATAAATTTTGTTGGAATTGACGTTTCTTTTTTCCTATGGGCTTTATTTCACTGGGCGTTATTGCATCCAACCAAAAGAAATATTTTCAACCAAAACTTAGATAAAATACTTAAATCTGTATTGGTAAGATATTACCTTCTGTTTGAAATTTTAACATATCAGATAAACAAAACTAATTGAATTATTTTCTCTGTTACATTCCAATTATTATATTTAAAAGGTATTCTATATTTTGCTCCACTGTGCAGTTGGCAACTGGATTTTTAGCCACTTTGGCAGTTGCCTTGCGGCATTTGCTTCAGTTGCAGATGCAGATTGCATATTGCAGATTGCTCGTGTTTCAGCGTCGTGATTAAGCCGCAATTTTTATACAATATTTGCATGTGAGTGTGCGGGTGTGTGCGGGTGTGGCCCATTGGGTGGCTGTTTTGGCCACATAATGACATTCGCTTCTAGCCAGTCGTATAATGCAGATATTACAATATGCGGATTATTAGGCATTATGCATATGTCCCTTTTCGCCGCCTCTGTTTTTCACTCGTTTCACGCTCTGTCTGTCTGTTATTGTGTGCTAACAATTTCTATTCACAAAACTGTGTGTGTGTGTGTGTGTGCGTGTGAGTATCTGTGTGTGCATGTGGCATGCAAATTTATTGTGTACTTTTGCCGCCAAGTTGCGGCATGTCAAACCCACTCCTCCTACAGCCCCAACACCCCCCTTTCCAAATGCTAAAGTGAGCTTTTGATTTCGGATTTGCATTTGTGAGGGGCTGGCTGGCGATAGTGATTGGGGGGAGGTATTGGGATTTGGGTGCCAAGGTCTGCGAATATGTCATTAGCATCCCATTCAGTGGTAGCATAATCGCTATAAAGAGCACAGCAACGTGGCTTAATATGATATGATAGGACATTTTCTGCGGTAGTCTTTAAAGTGCAAAGTCACCTGCAGTTCTGGGCGTTTTTCTTGTGTTTTTTCAAGAACATAAATACCAAATATCTTTGCTGAAAGGCTTTCCTTGTTTAATATCTATACCTTTTTTAGGTTTTTCATTTGAATTTAAAAACAAAGTTGTACAAAATTCATAAAAAATTAAAGAAACCTTTAAATTGCTCTATATTTTTCTTATTTTTGGTTACCGAAGTGCCCGATTTCCTTCACATTTTGCATTCATTTGCCTTTGTTTTACCCCATTTTTCATTCCAATTGTACTCCCCAATCCTTAAGCTAATGATTGGCCACTGCCACGCCCATGCTGCGGATTTATTTTCTTTAGCTGTCTTGCTTTCCTCTTTTTTTTTTGGATTATTTTCATTTAATTTGTTTTGGAGGCCACGCTGCGTATACGCAATGCGAGCACTCACTTTGTTTCAATATGCATGAAGCCTCACTTCCTCTTTTACACGCATTTTCTCTCTACCACACACACACACACACACACACTGCCAGACAAACACACACAGTCGCAGACACACACACACAGACAGCGGCAAACACACATATACATATGAGCTGCTTGCACAGTCGGGCTCAAAGTCACTTAACCAAATAAATTTTTGCAAAAAAAAAGAGAAAAAAAACGCAAGGGGGGTCGGGAAAAGGGGGGGGGGTGGACAGGAGGCGTGGCTGTCGCCTTCTTTCCGTTGTCGTTGTTGTTGTTCAAGTATTTATTTTGCTTGAGTGCGCTACAGTTTTTAAGTTTGTTTGCACTGAAAACTCAAGGCACAACTTGCAAATATTCATTACAAACAAACAAACAAACACAGGGGCGTTGGGCGAGGGGGGTGACTGGAGCTTTATAGGGGCCTTCGGCGGGCTTACGGGGCACTGAAGCCAGGAGGAAGTAGTCTCGCCTTGCTTTCTCTCGACAGCGCGAACTTAATGTGATTAAAATTGTATGGCTGTCGTTGGCTGTTTGTGTTGGTATGTGTTGGGGAAAAGCACAGAAACGGAGCTCCTGTCTTCCTCTTGCTCTTGCTCCTTTC